TTACAGAAAATGGGAAAAACCTCTCACAAATATATCATCTCAGTTACAAGCAGAATTTGGCAGGTGCAGCAGCTGAAATGTCCTTCTAAAGAGAGTTTTTGCTCCCTTATATTATTTTAGTCAAGGAACAGGAAACCAAATGCCATAAATTTAATACATTAGAGATAATCTGAATAGACCAGAAAACATTTAAATATATCTGCTGTGTCACAGGCCTTCATGAATGAAAACAGATGGCATAGATAAAATAATTTCATTTTTACTCTGGAATTTGTGGTATTTCAAGATTGTCCAAGTGCCAGGATTAAGTCAGGCTGAAAATGACTTTTCCCTGATATTTGCTGATGAATTTTAATTTCACAGGCTCTTACAACCACACAGTTATCAAAAAAAAAATCATTCTCTAGCCCAAGAAAAGATATCAGGTGGAGAAAAACATGACTGATGGGTATGAAGGTGATCTGTAACAATAAAGACAGTGATGTAAACAATAATGTAATATGAAGCACAGTTAGCCATCTACAAAGTCTCAGGGTTATGTTTCGTACCAACATTGAATTTCTGAGCTGAAATACTTAAACTTCATTTGGTCTTAGCATTAATGCTAATATTTAGCTTTAATTCAAATATGAATAAAAATCCATTATGAGTTAAGTAAGATTTTACAATGCAATTTCCACTTGTTAAAAAAAAAAGTTTATCATACAATCCTACAGTTAAGGGAAAAAACAACCTCACGGGTTCTCTTGGAGTATGTGTTGTTATCAATAGGGGAAACAACCTTTGAAATTCACTTACTGTACCTCAAGGAAGGTTTACATCTAAGAAGCATTCAATAAATGTTACATGCTGCTGCTACTGCTGTCTTTATTAGAAAACATAGCTGGATCAAAATCAGGTCCAGATAGATCAGAACTGAAAATTGTTAAAAAAATTTAAATAACCAAGCCATAAAAAACTAAAAGAAAGAATAATTGAATATTTATGAAATTTCTGAATGGGAAAGAAAATTTAAGCCTCAAAATGATAAATGAAATAAAAAAAAGTTGGCTTGTCTGCCTAAAACAATTGTACATTAAGAACCAAAATTAAAGCAAAAAATGATTTAGGGAAAATACTTCATACACAATTGGCAAGGGCAGGGGAAGGGCACTGAATCTGCTACAAGTCGTTTAGACCGCAAAATGGTAGCTGAATAATACATTCTACTGGCAGCATTCTATGGAAACAGACACTTCCATACATTATTGGTGAGAATACCAAGTAATACTATCCCAACAGAGTACAATTTGGTAATCTCCATCAAAGTTACAGATTCATTTACCCTTTGATCCATCAATCTAACTTCTGAGATCTATCCTACAGATAGAGCTGTTCCTGACTGAAATGACAGATGTGCAGGATTATTCACTGCAGTAG